GCCCTTGACCCAGAAAACTGAGGACACACAGCACCTGGAGGGTCATTTAGAACCCAATGTTGGCCAGTGGCCCAAGAAATTGGGAAAGTACAGTGGCTGGAGGGTCATTTAGAACCCAATGTTGGCCAGTGGCCCAAGAAACTGAGAAAGTACAGTGGCTGGAGGGTCATTTAGAACCCAATGTTGGCCAGTGTCCCAGGAAACTGAGAAAGTACAGTGGCTGGAGGGTCATTTAGAACCCAGTGTTGGCCGGTGGACCAAGAAACTAGAGAAAGTACAGTGGCTGGAGGGTCATTTAGAACCCAGTGTTGGCCAGTGGCCCAAGAAACTGAGGAAGTACAGTGGCTGGAGGGTCATTTAGAACCCAGTGTTGGCCAGTGGCCCAAGAAATGAAAAGTACAGTGGCTGGAGGGTCATTTAGAACCCAATGTTGGCCAGTTAGCCCAAGAAACTGAGAAAGTACAGTGGCTGGAGGGTCATTTAGAACCCAATGTTGGCCAGTGGCCCAAGAAACTGCAGAGGCACAGCCACTGGAGGATCATATAATTAGAATTCAGTGTCGGCGGGTGACCCAAGAAAGTGAGGACGCACAGCCACTGGAGGGTCTCTGGGACCCATATTTTACTGCAAGCACTTATGAAAAATATCGTAAAACTTGCTATTACCAATATAATATCAGTATCTAATATTAATACTAATAATTGCTGCAGTGTTTTTTCTGGATATTATTTTTACAATGTTCTTCAGATAATTAAAATAAATTTCCAACTGTAACTCATTCTGAGGATCTTACTTGAACTAGTTAAAGCCACTTTGCACAGTTAATAACACAGTGTTAAAAGATAGCAAAGCATACATTTGTTGTTGTTGGTTTTTTTCACTATCCACACAAAAGAAGACAAACAATTAAGAAAGTATTTATTTCGTTCACTGTCTTCTTATCTCTTAACGTTTATTATTCTTATTACACATTACCGGAGAAACTAATATTTAACTACGGGAGTTCAGTCAGCACTAATTACACAGAAGGCTGACCTTCTAGTGTTAAAAGGTATGATTGCTAGAATCAGACTGCTTTATTTACTCTGAAGACATCGTTTACACAGACCGAGGTGGCTTCAAGTCAGGTTGGAGTATATTAGCATGTCAATTTATTTGAAGAATATCTCTCTAATCCAGTAATTTTAAATTGCAACGCTGAACATTTATGTTAATAGATAAATAAATCACGTTAAATTATTTGCTTATATCTTTTCAAATTGTCGCGTAAGCTAGGTTTTAAGAGGAGTGACATAAGCTAATTTCCAATCCTTTGGCACCTGCCCCCCTATTCAAATAGTAGTGCCCCCCCAGTGGCACAGCGGTATGTCTGCAGACTTACAACGCTAGAAACCGGGTTTCGATACCCGTGGTGGGCATAGCTCATTGTGTAGCTTTGTGCTTAATTACAAACAAACTCTGACGAGTGTTAGACTTTAACCGTTAAATACAAGATATTCATTTGACAAAACGTTTGATTTAAACTTTCACAACTAAAATTTGTTATTTTCTTTTTTTTCCAGACACTTAACACTTTTACCACATCGTTTAAATAAAATCAAAGTCACAATATAATACATAAAATAAATCACTCACCCAACTCTTCCATAGCTAGACACAGTTACTGAGGGATCAGAATTGAAAAATCAATATTTTAGATAAAATTTCTATGGGAGCAGTTCAGGAGTCTCTGGTGTTTGATATCATTTGTTTGGTCAGGCACTACTTTGTATGAGATAAATTGTATTCTTAAGCCTACACTGTGGCCACGCACTATTTTGGTACCTTTCTGTGTGGGCACGGCGTCCTTGGTCTGTCGGTCTTCGGAACTGGAGCTCGAGAGCTGCCGGCGCAGATATTCGGTTTGTCAAACTAATCCACTTTCGTCACGCGAGCCTCGTGCTTCTGACTCGCTCAGAAACATGTGATAAATATCAGTGATAATGGCTGGAGACGGCTTAAATGGGTAATGAAGAAAAACTTTAATATAAGTTTAACATGACAGCAAATGTACAACGTTTCGACAAGGTTTTGTCATCATTTGTACATGTTTTGTACATTTGCTGTCATGTTAAACTTATATTAAAGTTTTTCTTCATTACCCATTTAAGCCGTCTCCAGCCATTATTAGTCTCAAAGTGGGTTCCTCGTCATCGAATATAAATATCAGTGGTTTCGCTGTGTTGGTTAAGAGTACTGTAGTTCCGTACGAAAGTTCATTCTGCATTACTACTCTTTATTAAGGAAATTCTACGAAAGACGCGTACAAAACATTAAAAAAAATATAGCTTCCTACGGTTGATGCCCGTAGTTTTTGCATAACTTGTACCAAGCTTTTTGTATTAATTGTCAGAGCAATATATAATGTGGCGCCATCTATCGAGCTAAATTAAACATAAAATTACGTGTGTTTGTTTTTGGTGTTCTCCCTCGACCCGAATCTCTTCTGATTCCCTAGACACCCAATGTTGGTCCTGGTTAGTACTTGGAAGGGTGACCACCTGGGAATAGCAGGTGATGATGACATTATAAATAGATAAATAAATTTGCCCCCCAGTGACACATTGGTATGTCTGCGGACTCATGGTGCTAGAAACTGGGTTTCGATACCCCTAACCTAGAGTTGATAGAGTAGCGCCTAGGCAGGTAGTCAACAACATCAACCGTCAACTCGCCGTCCCTAACCTAGAGCTGATAGAGCAGAGCCTAGGCAGGTAGTCAACAACATCAACCGTCAGCTCTTGGGCTATTCTTTTACCAACGAAAAGTGTGGTTAACCATCACGTAATAATGCCCCAACGGCTGAGAGGGCGAGCATGTTCGGTGACGGGATATGAATTCGCGACACAAAGATTTTGAGTCGAGTGCCATAACCACCACGACATGACAGGCTCATTCTTAATCATAAGTCATATATATACGTAATCACTTTCATCATGGAGCCGGGCGTGGCCTAGAGGTTTAATGTGTTAGGCTTAGATCGAAGAGTCCAAGGTTTGAACACGTTCTGAAAATTTCAGCTATGGGCACGTTATAAAATCCCATTCTGTTTGAAAATTTCATTTTTGTCATTAACATCAAACATTCAACCATCTGTACAGTATATTATCGAGTAAAATATTGTATGGTATCCCATTAAACCGAAATACCATTAATATTTCACGAGGTTCAGCCAAACTTAGGAGATATAAGTTGGTCCTAACTCCATATGACAAGCTAACGATGTGTTACGTTTCTGTTTGTTTGTTAATTTCCCGTAGAAATTCTTTCCGAGAAACTTCAGCGATACAAGTCCTTTCTTAACTAAAACTAGTTTATTATTTCTCGATACAACTTTATAATACACAGAATTTCCACAGTCAATACGTTTGCAATCTCGAGAACAAAACACACACTTTATATTACCGTCACTTCCGCTCATTTGACTCAATTATCTGTCTCTATCTCTGTCTATCTGCAATTCTTTTTCTCCACTTTATTTGCCGAACTTATATACAAAAAAAGATGGCGCCTAGAAAAGACTAGAGTTGCCAGGAACAGTCATGATCCTTCTAGAAACTCCAGGGCGCATGCTTTCAGCGTGGCGTGACTTCCGCTGTCATAGCACATACAAAATAACACTCATAATAAAAATTATGTAATAAGAAATGGAAAATAATAAAAATATTATACATTTTTATTAATACTTTTAATTAAAGAAAGAAGGAAGATCTGAAACTAAGTCTGAACTATTAGTTTTAGGAGGGAACCCCCAGTAGGACAGCGGGAATTTTGCGGACTTATAACGCTAAAAACCGGGTTTAGATACCCGCGGTAGGCACATCATAGATTGTTCATTGTGTAGCTTTACGCTTAACAACATACAAATCAGATTTAGGTCGTGCAAGAATTGACCACCTACCTAGAAAAAACTATCCCAGCTACAGGACAGCCACTGATGACAAGGGACCATCCTATCTATAGATGGGATCAATACATAACATGAGCCTTTAAAATAAAATCCACCGAAATGACTTGTTGAAGAAACAGTTTAGTGTAGTGTTTTATTTTCTGCATGGGACTTAATATTCCAGGAAGTGGGGCAGTGTTGTGGGATATATTCTCAATGTTTTATTTCGGATGTTAAGTAGAGGACGCAGGAGATAAGACAAATAAATTTGTTGGAGCAGACCAAAAATGTTTAAGATTACAAAAATGTAGAAGCTTTTTGAAATATCTAGAAACAAGGCTACATTATACATACTAGAATCAGCCTATCAGTGAATTAGTCAGTTGTTCCCAGTCACTAGAGTATCGATCATTCAGTATTTGGATCAATGTTAGTTATCGCATATATTCAGTTACAAATACAAGTAAGTTTACTTTTATTTCAGTCCTAGTACCTTAGCGAGGTATTTCCATTTGAATGTTATTTTTAATTCTAGGCCTACAACTGTATATAAGCTTGTACAAACGTCAAGGAAGAAATAAACTAATTTGTTATTGTTACGTCGACTGAACCAAATAATTTTTAAAAAATCCGCCAGTTAAAATACAACAACTAATTGTTCTTTCATTTTAAGCACAAAACTACACAAATATGTTGTGCCAATCGTGGGTATTGAAACCCAAACGTCAGCGTTATAAGCCCTCAGATTTATTGCTGAGACGTAAGAAGACCATGTCAAATGTTTGGTTATTGAACAGGCAAAGTAATTTTTTGTGTAACATTTTGCCAAGTTTGCAATGCAAGGTGGAAAGTTCAATTTATCTTTAATTATAATAGTTAATTCCCCTTCGAAAGGTTCCGTAGTGAAACTTGAAGTCTTGAAATACGCTTTTATGCTGTTTTTTTTTTAATGTTCGAAGAGAAAAAAAAGTAATGTTTTCTGATAGAGCAACAGGTTACGGTATGTGGATCACGTTTGGCGAAATCTCGTTACGTGGCAATGTTCGTGTCTAGTGTGGTAATACTAATAGGATTGCTTCATGTTTTAGTAGTAGACGTAGGCAAGTTGGTGTTGGAGTGCACAGATTGATTCTTGAAAAGGAAGTTAGTTTTATTAATACAGCTTGATTGTGGAAAGCTAATACTAATAGCGGCGTTAACTGAACTAGAAGGTGACTTGATAACAAGATATAAAAGGCTTGGTTGGTGATATCATCACATTCATTGTGCAATGTGTCGGGTGTCGTTGATAAACACTTCTGACGTTAGAAGTAGGCCTAACAATAGTATTAATATAAGTGATGCTATTGTTACCTACCCAAATAATGCTTCTTCTATTACTAGTTCTAATTGTAACAAGGACAAAATTCAGCAAGATGAGGGAGAATCTCAGCCTAAACTTGAAGTATTAGTAACACTAACAGTGTCAGGTAAAGGTTAATTTTTATTAGCTGAAATATTATGATAATTTCACCATAATTTATAAAATGAGAGATCGTAAAGGCTACCCCAGTTAGCCCTAACTTAGTTCTAAACAGTAAAACTAATACATTTACTTGTGTTAGTAGTAGTCATATGACTGATATACCTATCACTATACGTAGTAGTACTAGTAGAATTACTCAGATACATGCGTTGTATTTTTGTGTATTAATATTATAGGTGACAAGGTATCTTTCATTGTAAAATTAAAAATTGTTACATCACATATATGGTGTACTGTAAATTAATGCAGAGTTGACATGCATTTAATTATTACTACCTCTATAAAGTATAATAATAATATATTTTAGAGTTAATGATTTAGTTAAGATTACTACATTACAGAGTGTAGGTGTACAGTTATATAGTACAGTTCTCAATGTGTAGTTCGTATGTTTTTGCTTTTAATTTTATAATAAACTATAATTATCTTTAGTGTAAAGGCAAATTGAAACAAGCTACTTACTTAGCCCAAAAATTAAAACCAACTTGGTAATGAGCACAGCTATTTAAATATATTATTCTTACAAAAAATTAAACGTATTTTTTTCATCATTTGGATACCATCACTGCATCTCAAGTTGCTGTAAACTCAGTTTCTTACTGGAACTGTGTAATTAATTCTGTGAAATAATAAACCTTTTTCTTGTAGAATGTTGTGGAGAACTAGGCTATTTTGTTCCAAAGATTCTTACTGCTTCAATGTACGAGAATCTAGATGGGTGCAACAAAGAACTAAAAATGTGAGTTATATAGTTATATTTGTTTAGAAAGATACATGAAATTAAATGTAGAATGTGAAATGTTATGTAGATACAAAACTTAATTTGCAAGATTTAGTAAAATATTCTAAATATTTTTAGATCTGTGTTTTCTACACAACAGTGACACAAGTGTTTATTTCTTGTTTTGGTAGTTGACTAAGTCATGTTTATGTACAGATTGTTAGTATTTTAAAAATATTATCTTTTTTTGTGTGTCCCTAACCGATTATTTAGTACATATTGAAACATGTTGTAGGCTTGAATACACTTTTTAACATTGATATTGTTAATTAAGGCTTACTGTTTAAGATAGATCAATTAATGTACACATTTCACCAATAAATACTAAATAACCTTGCATGAATTGAAATAATGATCAACCAGACTGTACAGTAGTGTTTACTTCTGTTCTGGATCATGATCTGGATCATGACCCAAGCCTTTAAACAAGTTAAAATACAAGATTGTACAGTAGTGTTTACTTCTGTTCTGGATCATGACCCAAGCCTTTAAACAAGTTAAAATAACAAGATTGTACAGTAGTGTTTACTTCTCTTCTGGATCATGACCCAAGCCTTTAAACAAGTTAAAATAACAAGATTGTACAGTAGTGTTTACTTCTGTTCTAGAACAAAGAACTATTTAAGTATGGTAAAAGACATGATTTTATACTTCCTTAACTAACAGAAGTTTTATCTGTAAAGGTTTTGGAATTCTTCACGTATATTAATATCAAAAACACTTATGTTATTAACACTGAATGTCTACCATAATATAGCACTTTTTCTATAAAAAAATAAATATTTGTTTAAGATTTTCTGTTTATAGTTCTCTATGTTTTTATTTTGATAGCAGTGACTGTAATTATCAGAATAATTGTTTTTGTTTGGTTGGAATTAAAGGTGCTCTACTACTACTACTTTAAAACTTGTAAGTCTATCACAACGTTTTGTGAAACTTCTAGTTTGACAGATTCTCACATGGTTGAAGGGCTTCATGTTATCAGTTTAGTGACCTGTTGGCACAAAGTCAAGATTTATGTTAATTTGACTGTTTATGTTATATATATATATTAGAAAAATGTGAACGTCATAAAATAAAGAAATTACTTTTATAGACAAATCACCTATAACTCACAATGGTAGTAATTTATTACTTGGAAACATTTCGAGCAAACGGGCTTGTTTCTGACTTAAAAGAGAACATCTGCTCGAAACATCTACCATTTTGATTCATGGGTAGTTTTCTCTAAAAGTATAATTTCTATATATCACAATTTTCACACAAGTTTTCCTTTCAAACACCTTTTTTTTTAAGTTATATTACTGGTATCTCAAAGTGGAGTAATATCTGTATACTACAGATTAGTTGGGTTATCTTTCTTCAGGAACCAAAAACAGATCATGCTGAAGAACATGAAGGAAGGGAGTTACAGGTTTTGTTGTCCCGAGTGGGACAATATAACGGAGTGTTCAAAAGATCTTGTAAGTGTTGTACTTTGTAAAAGTGTTGTTCATTGATATTACTATGCGTGTTGTTAAGTAATTTACAGTGTTGCTGACACTTGAATATTATTACATTATAATTCTCTAGTTAACAAACTAATTCTTTAATCAGTAGAAAACTTATTTAAATGGTAAACATAAAAAAAATTATTATAACATCACGAAGAATATAAAGTACCACTTCTAGACATTGGTTGAAAATAAAAATGGGACTTTATTTAATGTGAACTGAAAAACTTGTATAGGTTTACACTATAATTATGATAGTTTTATTACCGAGCAATATAATGTTAACTTAATTAGGATTTTAGTTCATAGAGCGTACTAGATAAAAATTACGTTTATTAGTTTAGGAAAAGTAGTTGTGAACTTTTAATGGAAGAATAAGGATTGTTTGATGAAGGTTTTGTTATCAAGGCTTTTTCTAACGGTTAAATTTGTTTATCTCACGGTTATCACTTTGGTAAGAATAGATTTTATCATTTTTAACTTTATAAATGAAATAATGTAAGATGTGGGCTTTCCCGTTCTTTACTTCTGCAAATAATAGTGTGAAAAGGTGTAAATAATGGTAACAACAGTGTGAAAAGATGTAAATAATAGTAACAATAGTGTGAAAAGATGTAAATAATAGTAACAATAGTGTGAAATGATGTAAATAATAGTAACAATAGTGTGAAAAGATGTAAATAATAGTAACAATAGTGTGAAATGATGTAAATGATAGTAACAATAGTGTGAAAAGATGTACTGTTTGTATGAAATCTGTCTTCACTAAGTGTAAGTGAACAGCATATTGAATGACGTTAAACTTCTAATACATGAATGTCTACAGATGCTCGTGTTCTAATATGTAGTTTGTATGCAAGTCAAATGTTAAAACTCAAGTGTTTTTTAAGGGTGTTAAAACAGGTATAAAAACCCGAATATCTCAAACATGTATAAAACAGACTCTTTCCGTAGATACGAAAGATGCTGATTGTAGCTCCACAAAAGATGTTAACACCATCAGAATATCCAAGACATGAATTAATCAAGAATGCTGTAAGTCTAACTAGATTTTGTTGTACCTTGCTTTTAAAAAACATATAATGTTTTAGTATAACAAGCCTCTATTTAATGTATTTCAAAAGTTCTTAGGAGAAATGTGGCTTTCATTATTACATCAGAAATATAGAACTATCATCATTAAACAATGATGTACGACAAGCTTTACTCTGTCATGTGCACCAAGTATAAGTTTCCAAGATTGCCAAATTTAGATCATATACAGGTATAATAGGGTTTAGAAAGTTTATCTACTATAGACTTGTAAAACACTGCACAGGTAGTGAACCTATAACAGGGTTTAGAAAGTTCCTTGTCTACTATAAACTTGTAAAACACTGCACAGGTAGTGAACCTATAACAGGGTTTAGAAAGTTCCTTGTTCACTGTAGACTTGTAAAACACTGCATAGGTTGTGAACCTGTAACAGGGTTTAGAAAGTTTAGTGTTCACTGTAGACTTGTAAATCACTGCACAGGTAGTGAACCTATAATAGGGTTCAGAAATTTTCTTATCTACTGTAGACTTGTAAAACACTGCACAGGTAGTGAACCTATAATAGGGTTTAGAAAGTTCTTGTCTACTGTAGACTTGTAAAACACTGCACAGGTAGTGAACCTATAACAGGGTTTAGAAAGTTTCTTGTCTACTGTAGACTTGTAAAACACTGCACAGGTAGTGAGCCTATAACAGGGTTTAGAAAGTTTCTTGTCTACTGTAGACTTGTAAAACACTGCACAGGTAGTGAGCCT